GAACATAGACACGCAGACACGCACAGACACCAACACAGACACGCATACAGACACGAACACAGACCCGCACACACATAAACGCACACGGGCACGCACACAGGCACCAACACAGACACGTACGCATAGTTCAACCAATCAATCTAACAATACAAAAATCAATCAATCAATTAATCAATCAATCAATCAATCAATCAATCAATCAACCAATCAACCACAGAATTAATCACTCTATTGATTGATTGATTGATTGAATGATTGATTGAATGACTCAATGATTCATTGATTAGTTTTTATTCTTTTTGAATAGAGAGAGAGAGAAAGAGAGAGAGAGAGAGAGAGAGAGAGAGAACACACACAGACACACAGATCAATTAATCAATCAATCAAGGAATCAACCAATCAACCAATCAATCAAACAGTCTATTGATTGACTCAGTTCATTGAATGATTGATTGATTGATTGATTGATTGATTGATTGATTGATTGTTGTGTAACCGGTTGAACACGCAGAACGCGCGTGCTTATTTAAACGCGCGCGTTCATACCCCCCGGGGTCGCGTTCAATCGCGTTCAAATTTGCTGTGCGCGACGGAGCGCAAAAAAATTGAACGCGACCCCAGGGGGGGTGCACGCGCGTGGAGGACTATGGAAATTCAAAAAATGAAGTTAAAAAAAAAACACACGAAATACCCCCACTCAAACATATACACAGAAAATTTACACACACACACATATGAACTCCTTTTTTTTTTTTTGTTCACGGCCCAATCAGGCTATCTGAAGGTTTTTTTTTTTTTTTACAGGGAGGTAAGGGAATCTCCCCCGCTCAGACGGCCCATACAGGCTATATGAAGGGTCCTCACAGCCTTGTCGCGCAGACCCCCCAACCCACCAACGTCAGGGCAGGCAGAGAATATGGAATGGAGCACGAGCTGGCCGAATATATACTGTATGTTCGAATTCAGGTCTGTGTTTCAGCAGTTATGGGTTGCTCACTAAGGTAGGTTGAAGCTACTCTGTGCACGTGATTTTGAGGGCTTGGCTGCACTACTCACCAAATGTGAAAAACTAGAATGAATCTTCTGCAAAACATGGAATAATACGCCGCCATATGTTTTGTCTTTTATCGTTTCTCTTTATTTCGTTTTTCTTTTTTCTCTTTTTCATTTTTCTCGTTTTTCTTTTCTTAGGAATACCTGCAGTGGCCCTAAGGGCCTCTACTCATCATAGGTAGAAAAAACAAAACATATGAAGACGTATTATTCCATGTTCTGCAGAAGATTCATTCTAGTTTTGCACATTTGGTGAGTAGTGCAACCAAGCCCTCAGAATCACGTGCACAGACTAGCTACGGCCTACCTACGTGAGCAACCCATCACTGCTGAAACACAGACCTGAATTCGAACATACAGTATATATTCGGCCAGCTCGTGCTCCACTCCATATTCATTGCCTGCCTTGACGTTGGTGGGTGGGGGGGTTTGCGCGACAAGGCTGCGACGACCCTTCAGATAGCCTGTACTGGCCGTCTGAGCGGGGGAGATTCCCACACCCCCCCCCAAAAAAAAGGACCTTTCGTTGCTTGGCTGGAACACAC